GAGGAGGGAAGGTCACTAAGCTGGAACAAGAAACCACTTCCTCATTTTCTCTAGATTAAGTGTCAGAAGTCATTAGTCCCTGAGACTGTCAAATTCTGCATGCTTTTTTGTCCTGTAACAGTGAAATATATCACACATTAAAGAATCAGAAGTGAAGTTACAGACATTTAATGTTACACTAAAGACTAAGAACACTTCACTCCCATTTGCAAAAATGAAGAGCAACTGTCAGTATCTAAAATTCTTCATCCTTCTCCCTGGCAAGCCTGCATGAAATACAACTATCATCATCTCACAAACCTGAAGACATGAATTTTCTATACTTGTAGAATACTGACTGCATACCTCAAAAACATTGGATCAGTAAGAAATAATAATTTTTAGTTCAGAAATCCTTACAAAATGAAGCTCAGCCTTCTTGCTTTAGGTATTTCAGTAGTAGTGTTTTCAAAAAAACACTACAAAAACTGCTTGTTAAAATTTACTTTTGAGTTCTCTGGCAAGTTTAGATTAGGAGGAAAAATTGTATTTCTCCCCTGTAGACACCTAAGAAAGCACAGGAATTTTCTCTTTTTCCTCTACCATGTTTGCAGGATGAAATTCAGAGTAACATTCCATCCTGTCCAGCTACAAAATAACATCAGTTCCTGCCATCTCTGACTCCTGGCTAATTTTACTGAGGACCTGTCACATGTTAAGTATTTCAGGTACACAGAAAAAACACACCCTGATCAACCAACCCTATTTTGGTTGTCTAGAACCAGCTGATTCAGTGAAAACTCCAGTCCTATAGCGTGTCCACTTCAGGCAGCATCTCTCCTCCAGATTTTTGTAGGTAGTCTCAATCCAAGTAAAGTCAAGTATTCTGTTCTATTTATTACATTATCTGATTAACTGGACTGTGCTGACATGAAGAAAATTACTCCAGAAAAACTATGAATACAGTAAGGAAATGTTTACAATAGAAGACATTTCTAGCACAATTAGGATAATTCTCCAAATCCTTAGTATACAAAACAAGGTCTTACACTGTGGTTCACAAAGTGGGACACATTTCCGTATCGAGCTGCATCTACTGTAAATTCATCTGAGTCATAGTCCAAATCAAACAAGTATGTATTTCCCTGGTTGTCATAGAGCTGGCCTCGCTTCTCTGCTTCCTCACTTGTAATCACCTAAAAAAAAATAAATAAAAAAGAAAGGAAAAAAGAAACCTGCATCATATTATTAACTACTACTAAATCAAAACAAAAATCACAATCAAGTTAGAAAAATGCATAGTAAAAAATACCACAATAAGTTTCTGATGTTGAAATAGCATTCCATCTAATGAATGAAGAATACATAAGAGTACATACAGCTGAACTAATTATTATTGACTGAGGCTTCTCTGGATGCAATTTGTCTACAGCTGATGCACAGCAGTACCTTGTCTCTGAAAAAAAAAACATATCAGCACCCTCTATTAATAGTTTGATGATGACAATACAATCAACTGTTTTTATCTGAAGTTTCTATATACACACTTTTCCATTAGACCTAGGAAAGACTCCTTTAAAACCAAGATTCAACCTTTTCCCTTTGCACAGATGATCAACAAGTATCAGTCTTTAAAACCCAGCCACATTTACAGCCTGATATTCATTTCCTCTCTTCCCAGAAGCATCTCTTCCTGCTATTTTTGACTGCAATGAAAGATCCTATTCATGGCAGTTCAGACACACATCACAGAGCTCAATCTATTCAATTAGGTGAGTGTGTCACTGTCAACAGATGAAACAGCTTAAACAACTTCACCTGCAGCTTGTCACATTAAACACATCCTGTTGTGCAGATTCAGCAAACAAATCATAATTTGGCACCAAGAGAGACACAAAATGTGATGGAATTGGACAACAAATCCCTCTAAAATCTGACAAATGTGGTTTGAGAACTCAGTAGTAGATATTAAGTAGAATCAGGTGAAATGGTAAATAAACACTCTTTCCTTTAAGCAATGTAATTACATAATCACCTTTCCGCATTAACAGAGATATTTGGAATGTCTGACCTTTTGTATATTTAAAGGAAATGGATGAATATGATAAGTAAGAAGCTTTGGGGCAGGAAGCATGGAGGAAGTCTACTTAAGACCATAAACATTGTACAAAGGGACAAAAGGAAATACTTTGTATCAACATAGTAGCAAGGCAGAATTGTGGTAGGAATGCAACACAGTAAAAGAGCAAAGAGCAGAACAGAGAGGCTGCCCGGAACTGCTGGTGCAGCTCAGAGCAGAGGCTGAACCACACAAACACAGGGCAATACAAAATCTCAAGAGTAACTCATGGTCTGTATTTTGTAACAAAAAAGTTCTTTTTGAAAAAGTATGAGATTGAATAAATAGGTAACGGGGGGCGATAACAGATAAACAGATAATAAACAGATAACTATGAGTCTTATCCTTGCTGTTAATCAAAAGTAGTAAATATGCTTGGAAATACTACCTTAGAAGTTCAGACAAAACAGAAAAGGAACTGACAGACTGTGCAGGGAACTTCATAACAACTGTGCTTTGGGAATGGCAAAAACCACCAAAAAGATGATCAGAAAAGAATGAAGAATATGATTGCATTAAAGAAATTAAGGACTTGCCTTTAGAAACACTGTTAGGGCATGTATCTAAAATAATTCTTTAGCACCATATGAGATAAATATTCTCTTTACTTTTGACCTTTTACAACTGCTCTGGAGTGAAGGAATGTTCTAGACAACATAATTTTGCTGTTGACTAGAATGTTCTTTTATCTGTCTACTCAAAAGCAGACTGATCTAATAAATACTAGAATCACAGAATGTCCTGAGCTGGAAGAGTCCCACAAGGATCACCAAGTCCTGGCCCTCCCCAGGAATCACATCATGTGTCTGAGTATTGTCCATGAACTCTGTCAGCCTTGTTGCTGTGATCAGCTGCCTGGAGAGCCTGTTCCAGTGTCTGACCACCCTCTGGGTGAAGAAGTTAAGGAGTGTTAAAACTGAGAGAAAGCTCATTAAGATTTTATGTAACATTTCCTTGATTGTATGTAATTCACCTATATGAGATAAATACATACCCACCTCTCCAACATACTCCATCACAAAACTGTTGGTTTTAATTCTCTGGAGGGTTTTTACTCCCCAGCCACGGCCATTGTTGGTTCTGAAGATGCAGAGGGAATACGGTGTCCCTTTCTGTACAATCCTATTCGGGCAGTCAGGCCCACACCTACAATATGAATTGCATTCATAGATGGGCAAGCCAGGCTGGATTTTCAATTTCTTACGTTTATTGTAAGCTAAAATAAACCCAGCCTCTTTTGGACAGCACTTCTCAGCAGGGCAGTCAGCACATTCACAGCCAGTTGTTATTCCATTGAGCACATTTATTCCTGGAGCAGGTTTATATTCATTGATATAGTAGAAGTCTACAGGAGGGCCTTCAAGATCCACGGTGTTTTCTACCAGAATCATTGCTTTGTGATTCTTCTTCCTGTTGAGTTCTTCTTTCCACCTCTGCAGAGCTATTCTTTGTTTAGCCTTCTTTACAATATAATCTGCAATTGCAGGTTTCAAAGTTTTAACATGGTTTCTCACTTTCATTGCTTTGCCTTCTCTCCCCCGAGACAAGTATTCGTTCTTGTCTCTAAGAAAGTTCTGAATAAGCAGAGGGCAGTTCAGATGTTTCCGAGGTTCCCAAGTATTTGAAGATTCTGGCCATCCTTTCCATTTCACAAGATAGTATGCTTTGCCCTTGAAATACAGAAACAGATACAGATTTAGCCAGAGTTTTTGTTGCTAAAATCCAGCATCACAGAGAACACAGACAAACACAAGAGCTCTGGAGTTAAGGATCAGCACACAGGGCAGAAGGCCTTGATGTCCCCATAAAAAAAACAAGTGGGGAGAAAGAGAAAAATCAGTTTTTTGTTTGCAAATTAACTTATAGCACAACTTTGCAGACTCTCTAGAGGCAAAGAAATCAAAAGTTGGGATGAACTCTAATTGCTAACGCATACCTGGAGGAGGAGGAGGCTAGTTTGTCAAGGCAGGTGGTAAGTTATGCTAACTCGCTGTATGACTCGTATGCACAAGCAGAATGCAGCCGTATCACATACAGAACAAAAAAAATAAATCCAAAATTTAGCAAAAAAAAAAAGTCTAAAACCCACTACTGGTCATATCAACCATTGTCCCAGAACAGTAATTAATTTGATACATGTAATATTGTATTTACAGTGAAGCAGCATACATTTTACACTTATTAAAAAAGAACAAATAACTGTAACAAGGACAAATCCTGAGACTGAATTTCACAGAAATCCATCTGCAGCACATGGCCCTAATTCTTTATCAAACAGACTAAAAGAATCAAGAGAGAAATACACATGGCTGTCTGCAAATAAAGGAGAGGCATCATAATTCATACTTAGCTATCACCCTAAAGCATCAGCATCAGTTACACAAAGTTGAAACATTTCATATTCTAACATACCTGTAATTTCAGGAAAATATCTTCCTTTCACATACTGAAAGTAGCAGTTTATACCACTTTCTGTTTACAGTTCAAAGTTTAAAATATATTTAATTTGATGCCAGCAAAAGCTTTGTCCTCACTGCCTGCTGCTTTATATTATGAGCAAAACTACCTTTGGCTTGCTTCCAAATTTCAGCTGAAAGAGTGATCAAATTGGTCTGTGTTTCTCTTACCTCTTCTACCTTGTAGTCACACAAATATTCCACCTCATAACTCTTTAGACTCCTGTTGGTGATTCCAATGGATTTACATGTGAGATTTTCCTTCCTACATAATTCTTGGAGGGTCTCAAGTGAAGCTAGACATGGCACATACCAGGCTACAATAAGAAAATTGGTAAAGAATCCTATTTAATGTCTCAGCTAAATTGAAATCATTATGCCTCATCCCAGAGTCCCCACAATACCATTTGTGACAGTCCACGAGTCTCTTGCACAACTGCAGCGTCTCCAACTCAACCCGTCTCTAACGGGTCAAGTGAAACACGTTAATGATTCCCTCCCTGCATCTTTACTCTGCACGGTACGTACACTTATAAAGAACAACAATTATTTTGTAGGGCAGAGACTTCCACAGGTGAAAGAGAAACTAAGCACCGAGCAGTTTTTTCTACAATTACGGCATCGCATTACTGAACTACGGCAAGCAGGAAACCTCCATTCTTTAACAAGACCGCCAAATTTCTGTAGTCAAGCGCAACTGAGCACTCGCGCTGCAACCATGGTGACTGGATGAGGAGATAGAGACCCACAGCCCTCATGCAGAAGGATCGCGAGTGCCCTGTCAGCCAGGCGGATTTAGAGGGACGAGGCACTGCGCAGGGCGCCAGCGCCCGGGAAACACGGGGATCAAAGGGCTGGATGAAGTCCAGAGCGGCAGCCACCGCTGCAGGGCCGTGCCCGCCTCCCCCCGGGGCTCCGCGGGGCTCTCCCGTCCCGGCCGTTCAGAGCTCGGG